CCGGATTCCAGGGGTATGGAACAAGTTATCATTCCAGATCATTTTAGGTAACATATTGGATAGTTGGTTTCATGTTGTAAAAGCCATGACGTAATGTACGCTTTACAGTCATAGGCAGCAACAATATAGTGGGGTCCGTTTTGGTACCACTATGCAATATGAACATGCATATTACGAGAGTAGGGGTTCATTCGATAATTTCTTCTCATTATGTTGCAAAAATCGCCGCGGACCGAAAAAAGTTCGATTTTGAACCCGTACTAAAAGGAAGTTAAACAAGATGAAGCCCACGAACCCGAATGCTCACACGTATGTTAATGGTACAGAGGTCAAAACACATGGTTATGCAGTCACGCACAATACCTTTCTGCAATAGTTTATTTGAACAGTCTTGTACATGTTTCCCTTGTTACCAGTCTGCAGTGTGGAGTGTAGAGTGTGGAGTGTGGAGTGTGAAGTAAGGAGTGTGGAGTGTAAAGTGTGGAGTGGGGAGTGTAGAGTGTGTAAAGTGTAGAATGCGGAGTGTAAAGTGTAGAGTGTGGAGTATGGAGTGTAAAGTGTAGAGTGTAGAGTGTGAAGTGTAAAGTGTGGAGTGTAAAGTGTGGAGTGAGGAGAGTAAAGTGGAAAGCGTGGAGTGTAAAGTGTAAAGTGTGGAGTGTAGAGTGTATAGAGTGTAGAGTGTAAAGTGTAGAGTGTGGAGTGTGGGGTGTAAAGTGTGGAATGTAAAGTGTAGAGTGTGGAGTGTGAAGTGTGGAGTGTAAAGTGTGGAGTGTGGAGTGAGGAGTGAGGAGTGTAAAGTGTGGAGTGTGGAGTGAGGAGTGTAAAGTGTGGAGTGTGGAGTGTAAAGTGTGGAGCGTGGAGTGAGGAGTGTAAAGTGTGGAGTGTGGAGTGTAAAGTGTGGAGTGTGGAGTGGAAAGTGTGGAGTGTGAAGTGTGGAGTGTAAAGTGTGGAGTGTAAAGTGTGGAGTGAGGAGTGTAAGTGTGGAGTGTGGAGTGTAAAGTGTGGAGTGAGGAGTGTAAAGTGTGGAGTGTAAAGTGTGAAGTGTGGAGTGTGGAGCGTAAAGTGTAGAGTGTGGAGTCTAAAGTGGAAAGTGTAGAGTGTGGTGTGTAGAGTGTGGAGTGTGGATGTGGAGTGTGTGAGGAGTGTAAAGTGTGGAGTGTGGAGTGAGAGTGTAAAGTATAAAGTGTGGAGTGTGGAGTGTACAGTAAAGTGTGGAGTGTGGAGTGCGGAGTGTGGAGTGGAAAGTGTAGAGTGTGGAGTGTGGAGTGTAAAGTGGGGAGTGTGGAGTGTAGAGTGTGGAGTGAGGAGTGTAAAGTGTAAAGTGTAGTGTGGAGTGTAAAGTGTGGAGTGCGAAATGTGGAGTGGAAAGTGTAGAGTGTGGTGTGAGAGTGGAGTGTGGAGTGTGGAGTGTAAAATGTAAAGTGTGGAGTGTAGAGTGTAAAGTGTAGAGTGTGGAGTGTGAAGTGTAGAGTGTAAAGTGTAGAGTGTAAAGTGTAGAGTGTGGAGTGTAGAGTGTAAAGTGACGATTGTAAAGTGTGGAGTGTAGAGTGTAAAGTGTGGAGTGTGGAGTGTAAAGTGTGGAGTGCGGAGTGTGGAGTGGAAAGTGTGGAGTGTGAAGAGTGTGGAGTGTAAAGTAAGGAGTGTGTAGTGTAAAGTGTGGAGTGTGGAGTGTAAAGTGTAGAGTGTGGAGTGTGGAGTGTAAAGTGTAGAGTGAGGAGTGAGGAGTGGAAAGTGTAGAGTGTGGTGTAAAGTGTGGAGTGTAAAGAGCAAAGTGTAAAGCGTGGAGTGCAAAGTGTAGAGTGTGGAGTCTAAAGTGTAAATTGTGAAGTGTGGAGTGTAAAGTGTAGAGTGTGGAGTGCAGAGCTTCCCCCATGGAAACGGCGGCGCCACTGGAAAACCAGCGACTCGAGATAAGACACGTGGGTGCAAAAAAACGAGCATTTCGTGCGAGACTTCCTCCAATATTGATATTTTCCACACGTTATCAAACAGGTTGGAATGTCACAAAGTGCCACGCCTGCCACGCAAAACGACAGGACAACCTGCTTGGAAACATTCGAAAAGGACATGTTTTCCAGCTTCCCCCATAGGCACGGCGACGCCACAGGAAAACCAGCGACTCGAGACAAGACACGTGGATGCAGAAAAACCACCATTTCGTACGAGACCTCCTCCAATTTTGACATTTTTGACACATCATCAAACAGGTTGGAATGTCACAAAGTGCCACGCCTGCCACGCAAAACGACATGACAACTTCCTTGGAAACCTTCGAAAAGGAGAGGCTTTGCGGCTTCCCCCATAGACACGGCGAAGCCACGGGAAAACCAGAGACTCGAGACGAGACACGTCTTGAGCACCAAAACGAGCATTTCGTACGAAACTTCCTCCAATTTTCACACTTTGCAGCTTCAAAATCGACGTTTTCCTACGAGTTTTCCTTAGAACCTGAAAATCTGCAACCTCAAAATCGATGTTTCGTGCGAGGCTTCCGTCCATTTTCAGCACATGTCACAAAATGCCACGCCTGCCACGGAATTTGCACCTTGTCGCCACTTGACGCAGCCCTGCCAATGCGATTTACAAAAAACACGCAACACGACACGTCTAAAGTGCTGCGCCTGCCACGAAAAATGACGATGGACACGTCCAAAGTGCTGCGCTTGCCACGAAAACTGCAACGCATCTTCTGAAAACGTCACAAAAGTATTGCGCCTGCCACGCAAAACGATTTTCAACACGTTGCAAAACACGTCTGAATGTCACGAAGTGCCACGCCTGCCACGCGAAACGAAGCAACGACACGTCTGAAACCCCTAAAAATGACCACCTCTGCAGAACTTCCCATAGGCACGGCCATACGGGGATCGCGCGAACGGTTGCGAACGGTTGCGGACGGTTGCGGACGCGGAAGCAACGTCGAGCGAACACACCCTCAACCCCCAGACCCCCAGAGTGAAACGGGAACCCTTGCTACGCATTCGGGAAAATGAAAATGAAAGGCGCCAAAAAGGGGGAAAATCATCCAAGACCTGCTCCAAAACCGGATTTCAGCGCCAAAGCCGAAAAAAGTACGATTTTGACGCTTTTTGAAAGGAAAATTTAAAGGAAATGGGAAGCGCCAAAAACAGGAAAAGTCATCCAAGACCGGATTTCAGCGACAAAGCCGAAAAAAGTACGATGATTTTGTAGCTTTTTCACAGGGAAATTAAAACCGGAAAATGGACGACACCAAAAACAGGAAAAATCCTCCAAAAGCTGGCTCTTACCCGCAAACACTTTTACACACAGACGCTTTTACATACAGACGCTTTTACACACAGAGACGCTTGTACATACAGACGCTTTTACACACAGACGCTTTTAAGCACAGACGCATTTGCACAGACACTTTTACACACAGACGCTTTCACTCACAAACGCTTTTACACACAGACGCTTTTACACCAGGCGCTTTTACACACAGACGCCTTTACACAGCCGCTTTACACACAGACGCTTTTACACACAGACGCTTTTACTCACAGACGCTTTTACACACAGACGCTTTTACACACACATTCCTTTACACACAGACGCTTTTACACACAAACGTTTTTACACACAGAAAATTTTACACACAGACGCTTTTACACACAGACGCTTTTACACACAGATGCCATGGACGCACGAACCTTTACGCACAAGCGCTTTTACACCAGACGCTTTTACACACAGACGCCTTTACACAGCCGCTTTACACACAGACGCTTTCACACACAGACGCTTTTACACCAGACGCTTTTACACACAGACGCCTTTACACAGCCGCTTTACACACAGACGCTTTTACACACAGACGCTTTTACACACAAACGCCTTTACACACAACAGCTTTTACACACAGACGCTTTTACACACAGTTTTTGATGAGGGAATCTCATTTCGTGCGTAAGGGTCGCGCAGGGCCTCTCACAGTCATAATTTTCCCGCATTTTTTGACGATCGAGCTTCATTTCATGCATGAGGCTCACAGCAGGCCCGTCAAAATCGCAATTTTTCCGCACTTTTTGACGATCGAGCTTCGCTTCGCGCGTAAGGGTCGCCCCATCAAAACCACAATTTTTCCTCAGTTCTGAACGATTGAACCTCATTTGGCGCGTAAGGGTCACAGCAGACGCATCAAAATCGCAATTTTTTCCTATTTTTCGTCAATATTTGACGATCGCACCTCATTTCGTGCGAAACTGTTGCGTTTCGTGATCGCTGGTGGCCACCGCCCCCGCCTCAAGAAAGAAGAGAAATTAGCAGACAAGGGGGAGAGAGAGAGAGAGAGAGAGAGAGAGAGAGAGAGAGGAGAAGATGTAAGATGAGAAGACGTAAGATGTGAAGATGTAAGAGCAGCTGACGTAAGAGATGAAGAAGCAAGACCAGCTGACGCAAGATGTGCAAATGTATATAATGAAGATGTATTATCTCAGCTTCTTTTTGTTAGAAGAACCCTGCGCTCAGGCGCTCTCGGGAAAAAAACGTGCAAACCAACACGCCTTCGAAGAACGCGCGAACTGATTTCACAAAAAAATCAAAAAATAGGGAATGGGGTTCTTGGCTCAGCCGCCTGCCGCTGCCGTGGAAATGGATCATTGGCAGCTACGTGGATTCTGCGTCCGGAATCCATATCAGTGACTTGTGCCACCTCTTCGTCGGATGGCTAAAGCTAACCAAGTCAGTTGGTACCAAAGAAGAAGAGATCAGCTCGAAATGGGGCCCTGGCTTCCAACAAAGTTGATGCCAAGAAAAAGATTCCAGTAGGAGATTCCAGGGGAAACCGATGCCAAGAGGAAGACATGTCAAAAGCATAAGAGATGCCTGAAGAAAGAGATGCCCAGAGAAAGAAAGCCCAAGGAAAAGAGATGTCAAAGGGAAGATTTGAGATGAGAAGGACATGGCAGGTGACGGGGGCGTCAAGAGGCTGCTTCTTCCATGCACAGGGGGTCTTGCACACATCTTTTAGGCACGCTCTATTTTGGCCCTACAAGATCCTGTAAGTTTTTGAAATTTTGCAACTTCCGCTGACGGAAGCAACTCCAGTGAGCTGTGCAGCTAGGTGACGTCTTCGCGACCATCCTCAGGAGAAGAGCTGCGCTCTTCCATTTCACTTTCAAAATCTCGTTCAATGACCCACACACGCACAAAAGAGGAAACACGTGATGAAACTCAAGGGTCAACGCTTCCAGCATGATTGGTTCTCAAGATGCCATGGCTTTGCCGTGCCATCTTGGGCGAAAGGAGCCCCATGACAGGAAGTGGTGGTGAAGGGTTGAGCACAAGGACCCGTGAGAATTAAAGGAATGAAGAACTAACAAAGCGCAAGCACATTCAAGTGAGCCAGCCCTCAAGACCTTCCTTGTTGTTCGTGAAAGGTCTTCTCCCATGCAGCAGGAGCCTTCATTCATATTCCACCAAGCGGCTTTTCCATGCTGCTCTCATCGCTGGAACTGCGGTGTATTGGCCAAGGAAGGGATGGGTCCGTGTCACCTCCAGCACGGAAAATCTGGTCCTGGCTGAGCCCCAAAATTCTGGAACACCTCCCGGCTAAGATATTTGAGACAACGGCAATTCGAAATTCTTATCGACTTTCACTTCTGGTAGCTTCGGGTATACCTTCTGAAAACTTGGCTCCGTCGGGTCTTCTGCTACTGCGGTATTTTGCTGAGCACTGCGCAAAAAGATGCAATGCACTAGGAAAGCCTTTGCACCAGAAGTCTTTGCAACGCATCTGTACATATTGTTTAGATCGCTGTCAAAATGCGGCAAGATTGTAAAAGCTGAATGATCAGCATGAAGGGGCATCATTCCAACAGGTGCGCTTTAGCTCTGGACATGCTCTAAAAGTTATTTCATTCTCCCCACCATGCCCGTTCAAATGCGCACGCGCACAGACACACCAAAAAAACAGAAATCAAGAGATGGCAAAACATATCTCAGGAGTACTTTATCACTTTGCTCTCAAAGAGAACAGTGTTTGGCGTCTGGAATTTCCTAAATCAAGTTTCAATCCATGAAGCGCATCGAATGGCTCCTGGGTAGTGGGATGTGCCAATGATGGTTCCCAGGCTTTGACACCTGGAGGCCAGCAAGGTAGATTGGCTTCACTTGGAATTGGCCAAATACTTCACATTGCATTCTTCAACTATCTGCAATGTATTCTTTTGAGCACCAAACGATAGTGCCAATGAAATGCAATGTTATTTCAATGTGCAAAGGATTAGGATGCCGGAAAAAACGCTTGAATGCCGAGCTACACATGTCGATTTGTTGTAATGCCAAAGTAAATATGCCATGAGTGAAATCCGAATCAGCTGCGCCTCCTGCAAGGCCAATGTCACCTTCTTCAAAATCCACCTTTTGGTCCAAAGCCAGCGACTTCAAAAAGGCATTCCACCGTTTCATTGGGATAGCCTGTGAACGCTGACGGCATGACAGAGCGAGCATGAGACGGGCAGAGACTAAGACCAATACTTTGAGAATTTCAAACTTTGTCTTGTTCACTTTCAGTTTATTCTATGGCCTGCGCTCTTTAAGGCTTCCAGGGTCTAAATAGTCCAAATACGTCACATATCTTGTCTTTTAATACCCAATTTTTTAATGCTTACAAAACGACAAGTCCCGTCCTTTTCCGCTGCGTGTTTTACCTTGATTGCGTGCTCATTCCTTGATACTAGTCGGATCACTTGGACTGCGTTCAGCATCGCTCAGCTGCCTTCAGCGTGTCCAAAATGACGTCTCCCCTCGCAAGCCTGACCACAAAAACCCTAAACAAAACTAGAGCGACCATGGTGACCGCCAATCCGCAAAGTGCCCACCGTGATGACATATCAGTCATGGGTAGAGCATGGAGTAAATCAAACATGTCATGGCGACTAAGGTTGTGAGCTTGAAATTTCAAAGACAGTTAACATTTCAGCCAAATGACATCGCATGTCCTAGGATGTCTTCTGCCAAGGCAGCGTGGACACCGCAGAATTGCCTGGCAGATTTCACTGACAATAATGCCTTGCACATCCTTGCGCACTCATGCGGACCCATTCAGACCCGCCCAAGCTCAAAGAACCAAATCTAGAGATAGGTGCCTTGACGCCAAACAAATCCATGTCGCATCATGTCGCATCTGTTTTTCGCCTCGCATCACCTGTCGAGCTTCATCTTGAGCTGCGCTAAGCCAAGGCACGACACCAGGAGATTGAAGAAGAAACTGTAGACAACGAGCATGTAGGCCACAAGGACCTAAAGCAATTTGCAACACCAAGCATTCGCCTGAATGAAAGTTACCCGAAAATTCAAATGCATGCTGCCTTCGAGCAGATTCGTGCACAAAGCGTCAACACGTTTCGTCTTGTAATTACCCTCAATCCTCTTATTCTTTGAGCCAATGTCGCGCTTGCCTCGCTCCAATATAGCGTGAAGACATGACACTCAGAACATCTCAAACCCAGGCACACCGAGAAGATAAGGACTTTCTCCCGAAATGCTGCTGACTTTCTCCTTTGCCACTTTGAGCAAGAATGAATGATGTTCGGGGAACTGCTTAATCTTACTCCAGCTAAAGCCCAGTTAATGAATGCTGTGGTCGGATTCTGAACAAGAATGAATGATGCAATTTGATGCATTGAAGGCTGACTGAGCTGCAGTTCACCGCTAAAGCGAAGGGCTTTTACAATGCCACTGGCAGAGCATCCAAAGCCAAATCAAGCTTGCAGAAAGAAAGGCAAGGCCCACAGAAAGCGAAGATGCATCTGTCCATTTCCACGGATTTCCAAGACTCCAAATCCATGATACCCACAGCTAACTGCACCAAGGAAGTCATTGTGCGTCCCATTTCAGTGAACTCCTCACATCAGGGTGAAGCAACATCTGGAACACAAAATCCGAACAGGAAAGAATCTGCAAATTCCAAATCCCTCATCGTGGAAATCTTATAAATCTTATATCATCTTATATCTATTTATCTATCGATCTATCTATCTATCTATCTACCTATCTATCTATCCATCCATCCATCCATCCGTCCATCCATCTATCAATATATCCGCCTATCTATTCATCCATCTATCCAGCTATCATTGCATATGTATATGATATGTACATGTAGATCTGTACACTGTATATGTGCTTTGATCATGTCCATTGATCTACTGTCTTGCCGTCATAATCAGAGCGTCAAGAAGGGCCAAACGAGGTCTGCCCTAGAAGGAAAAAGAGACTCCGCTCTGCATGAAGCGTTTGGTTCATGCCTGCTTCCAGGGAAGTTAGCCTGCTTATTGCTTGGTTTATTGGTGATTCCATCAGCCTGAAAAGATTTGGGCACTGCCGCCCAGAAAGAGAGAGCAAAGGCATCCCAAATCTGTCCGAAAGAACTATATACTCAAGCAAAACGCGGAAAACACAACGACACCGAGTGCATACCTGACAAGCATGACGTATCAGCTGAACGTCCACTCAGCATAGATTTAAATGCATTTTATGTTTCATTCCATGCAATTTTTCTGCCAAGGATCGCTGTTTGACAACAGTGTGGCCTTGGATGTGCGGCTTGGAAGAAAGCGAAATCAATGTCTTTTGACTTTTTCCATCCTCTTCATCATAACAATGCTGCAGGCTGTTCTTTCGCCTTGCGTCTTTGGACAACTTGAGTGGATACAAATTGATGTTGCAACCTTAGTAAAGTTTGCATTAGATACTTTAAAACATCCCGAAACATCCTGAGACCTTGCAACCGCCCTGCCTCCCGCGTCATGCTGGAGATTGCAACGGCGAAGATGATGGAAATGCAAGTGACCGCTCCGATGCAGAGCGCCACCTGACACCAGTCTCAATTTGTCAAGTTGTCACAGGATTGGGATTCAAAACTACTTGGCGAGCAATGAACCGAAGGAAGTTTAGAAGTCAAACGTCCGACAGTATGGATAGATGGAAAAGAAGAGGTGGGAAGAGCCAGAGAAGAGAAAGGCAGAAGGAAAAAAAAACTCAGAGAGGAGAAAGAGTCAGAAGAAAGAAGATGCAGGTGCGCAAAAAGGTAGAAAAGTCGCGAAGCACTGTGTTTTTCCAAAGTGTGTGAAGTAGGCTCGCTAAAGCAGCGGGTGCAGAGCCATCTGGTCGTATGAGAGATCAAAAATTGTGCGGCGCTGTGGTGCGAAGCAGCTGTAAAAGTCAAACACCTCAGTCTTGGAACACTTTTGGACGTTGGGATGTCGAAAAAGTGGACGCCGTTGGGGCGCGAATCGCATGCCGAAGTCAGAACGTACAAAAGACACCATTCTCGGAGCACTCTTGGCAGTTGAGTTGTTGAAAGTACACGGGGCTGTGGCGCCAAGCCCTTTATGAAGTCAAAACGCACAAAACACAAAGCCTTCCAGGCACTTTTGGCAGCTGAGATGTTAAAAAAGTGCACGTGGCTGTGGCGCGAAACGCGTTTTGAAATCAAAATGCGCAAAGGGGCACCCTTGGCAGTTGAGATGTTCAAAAAGTGCATGAAGCACATTTCGAAGTCAAAAGTGTTGAAAACTGATGGTTTCGGACGGCTTTTTGAAGCTTGGGTGCGAGTTTTGGGTGGCAGGCGCAATGGATATGCATCTGGTCGAAAGATGTCGAAAGTGAGCCAGGCCTGTGGCTTTTGCAGCAGATGCGCAAACGGTGGCAGGCGTGGGATGTTTGAAGAAGATCTGTAAAGATGCGTTTTGCGTGGCAGATGCAATAGAAGAGACCTCTTGATCAGAGATGTTAGGGGTCAAGGCAAGGCGCTGATTTCGTGAAAGGGTTGCATTTTCGACTATCAGATCTTCAGGTTTGCTAAGATGAGTTTGCGTGACAGGTGCAGCACTTGGCCTCACTTTTTCGTGGCAGGCGCAGCACTTTAGACATATGGAATGGAAAAATAGCATTGGCACGAGGCCGTCGGTTCTGCATTCAGCTTTCAATTTCTGAAGGAAGTCTCGCAGAATTGCTTCGTTTTTGATGTTGTCAAATTTAAAAATTGAGGGGTCTCCCAGAATTTCATCCTTTTGGGGCTGCGGCGTTCGCTTTTTGAGGAAGTCTCCCAGGCTTGCTTCGTTTTGGAGCTGTGCAAAGCATTTTTTTGAGGAAGCCTTGCAGACTTGCTTTGTTTTAGATAGATAGCTAGATAGATGGCTAGATAGATAGATAGATAGATCGATAGATAGATAGATCGATCGATAGATAGATAGATAGGTAGACAGACAAACAAGCAGGCAGACAGATAGATAGAAAGATAGGCGACAGAAGAAAGTAGATCCATAGGAAGATAGTCAGATAGCCAGATAGATAGACAGACAGATGGTCGATGGTTAGAGAGATAGATAAATAGGTAGATAGATAGATGAAGAGGGATGAAGAGAGAGAAAGAGAGAGAGAGAGAGAGAGAGCGAGCGAGCGAGGGAGGGAGGGAGGGAGGGAAAGCGAGAGAGCGACACAGAGGCAAGGGAATTGAGACAGAGAGAAAGAGACAGAGAGGCCGAGCCTCAACAACCTTTCAGTCCGTCGGTTCGTTCTGCCAGCCAAGCATCACAACACACCTCTCCTATAGGTTTCGTTCGAAAACATTGAAACTTCAGCCCCCGCCTTGTGCGGTACTGGTTTAGAAACATACTGATGCATTGCGTCTCTTCTACAGGATATTGCCGCATTACAACTCTTCTATCGGGCCTGAATGCGGCCAAGACACCTGCTTAAGCGCATGCGTGCACAAGACTTTGAACTCGCACAACTCGATAGACATGTTGGCAACGTCTGCTACGATGATGGCATACCTAAGATGGATGACTCGACAGCTTTGTCGAATTGACCCTTGCTGGGCCGAGCTGACCTACGGGTTTGGCAATGTTTTTCCCCACAACTTTGTGTGGGGTTCTTGTGTTTGTTTCTGTATCCCGCGCCTCCTCCCGCGCCGCCGCGTCCAACCATCTTTCACACACAACTTTGTCACACACCATCTCTCACACACACACAACTTTGTCAAACACCATCAATCACACACAACTTTGTCACAAACGACTTTGTCACACACAACTTTGTCACACACACAACTTTGTCACACACCATCGACCCGCTTGATCACATCCATCTTCGTTTTGCGTGGCAGGCGTGGCGCTTGGCGACATCCACCTTCGTTTCACGTGGCTGGCGTGGCGCTTGGGCGCATCCAAGTTTCGTTTTTCGTGCCAGGCATGGCACTTGTGGCACTGGGCTGGGTCTGGTGGCGTGCTTGGTCGTCGTTAACCGTCCGTGACGCCGTGGCACTTTGCGTGGCAGGCGTGACATCCACCTTCGTTTTGCATGGCAGGCGTGGCACTTGGCGACATCCACCTTCGTTTTGCAATGGCAGGCGTGGCGCTTGGCGGCATCCACCTTCGTTTTGCGTGGCAGGCATGGCACTTGCAACATTCACCTTCGTTTTGCGTGCCAGGCGCTTTTGGCACGGTCTACTGCATGAGGCCTTCACCCCTTGCCCATGTGAGCCGCTTCGACGTGGTGGGGTGATCTACATCCTGGACAACAAGTACCGCACGGCCAACTACAGTGGCTTCCCTATGAGCAGGAGGGCCTGCACTGAGCGCGCTGGCGGACAGGATTTTTGCCCAAACTGGCCAAGGGGGAGTGCGATTGGCACTGTGCACATGCACAACATCGTGCGCGCTGCGACTTTTTTCATGGCTCAAGAAAAGGAGCTTTGTTACTGGGCAGGTGTGTGGGAACCTAAAGGGTTGCTCGAGCAATTGAAACCCATAACCGAAGCCCCCGTTCGTAACCGCACTTTCAACAATCTAGAGGCATGCTGTGCCATGCATGCTCTCATTTTGTATTTTGAAATCTTTTGACATAGCGTCTACGACCCTTGCAGAAAGGTTGCGAAGCCTACGTTTAGAAGATCGCGTATATTGCCTTGAAAAGAGATGAAAATCAGGAGGCATGCTGTGGCATGCTCCCATTTATCATTTTGGAATCCTATGCGTAAACTCCCTCTGGGTGGTAAACCTTTTAAACATTGTGTCTAGGACCTCTGTAAATAGGCTGGGAAGCCTACACTTTGCACGCCCCGCAACTTTCCTTTAATAAACTAGAAGCATCCAGAGATCTTATGCAAGGACTTCTGCTGGGGTTGCAAACCCTTTACATAGCGTCTATGGCCCTTGCAAATAGGTTGCGAAGCCTGCGTCCCGCGAATCTCTTTTTCAAAATCTAGAGTGCTGTGGCACGCTTCCATTTCATATTTAAAAGTCTTTTTCATAGACTCCCTCTGGGTGGTAAGCCTTCAACATAGTGTCTAGGAGTTGTGTAGATAGGCTCGGCCTGGGTCCGGGAGCCCTGTAGATAGGTTGGGAAGCCTGCACTTAGAATGTCTGAGGCATGCTGTGGCATGCATGCTTTCATTTCCTATTTTGAGATCTCATGCGTAGACTCCCTCTGAGTGGTAAGCCTTTGGCATAGCGCCTGCGATCCCTGTAGACCGGGAAACGCTCAGAACGTCGCGCATGTTTCTTTGAAAAATCTGAGGCATGCCATAGCCCCCATTTCTACTTTTGAGTCAGAGGTCTTATGCATGGACTCTCTCTCTGGGTTGCAACCCTTTTATATAGTGTCTAGGACCCTTGTGAATAGGTTGCGAAGCCTGCGCTTGGCTCCCATATTATATCTTGGGATATGGTTTAATGCAGAGACCTTCTCTGGGTGCTAAGCCTTATATATAGCCTCCACGAACCCTGCAGATAGGCTGTGAAGCCTGCGCTTAGAACGTCCTACTGATCTCTTTGAAAAACTGCGAAAATCTAGAGGAATGCTATGGCATGCTCCCATGCTATATCTAAAGTCCAAATTTAGAGGTCTTATGCAAAGATTTCCGCTGGGTTGATTGCATCTAGGCCCCCTGTAGAGAAGTTGCCGGTATCGCCTTTAAACATCGAAAAGCATGCTGTAACATGCATGCTCTCATTTTGCATGTTGAGATCTTATGCGTAGATTTCTCTTGGGTGGTAAGCCTTGATTGAAAACTGGCACAAGCCTAGAAAATTCATCATTGAATCAATTGGCATTTCAAGTACCTAAACTGGAGGCACCGTGCCAAGTAGAGCCGGATTTTGTGGGGGTATTCCTTACCTTGCCCTTACATTGGCCTTATATAACTCTTATATATTGCAGGTGCCTCCCATGTAGGCCCCTGAAATGGCCATTGACTGAAGATACTGAAGAAATCGTATTGTCATGGGTGGGGGTGATGGCGCCAGAAAAAAGGCAGGTAGCAGGTGGCCTTGAAACCCACCGAAAAAAATCCATAGGGACCCGAACATCACTTACCGCCTAAGTAATTGCGGGGGCGAAAATGGTTGCAAGGGAGTCACTTAGAACGAACGTCGTTTTTTTTTAAATATGCGCACTTAGAGCGTCCCCAGCCGGCTTGTTATTACTTTGCTGTGCCATTGGGGAGAAATTGTTGGGTTCAAAGGAGTTTTGAAACGCCCAGTGACACAAATGCTGACGTGGTGTTTGGCTCATGAACCGCGGATCTGTTGTACTTTTTTTTTGAGGTCTTTCGTGAATTTATTGAAGATGCTTAGCCTGGTACCATTTCACAAAAGCGCCACATGTCAGCAACATGCATGCTGACACTGCACTGACCCTATGCAAAACCGGTCTTGGGCTCATGAATCATGAATGTTGAGACGTGTTCTTCTTTGTTGGCGCGCCATCCCCCACCCCCAGCTGCAATGGTTATGACATGTAACAAGTCCCAAGCTGAAACGCGTGGGTACATCAGGGGCAAACGTTCAGGATTTGCCCGATGCAAGTTTTTTTTGTTCAACTATGTTCAACTATTGTTCAACTCATGTTTGTCATGTCTGTGCAGGAAAGTCAGCAAGCATCGTGAAGCATCAGTTCCTCTCCTGTGCTCCTGGGTGAGCTTGCCACAATTCCATGCCTGTGCTAGCAAGGAGAAAGATATGTCCGCTCGCCCGCGCTGGTCCAGACGGAGCTGCTTGCTGGAGAGCGTCCAGAAGCATTCTGATCGATTTCCTCTATGGCACGATTTCACTTTGTGTTATCATGGACAAAGCGCTTAAAGCCAGGATGCAAGTAGATACCCAATACAACCAGCAATTCATAAGCCAAACCTTGAGGAAGCAAGGCGGAAACATCTCGAGAAATGGTCGCATGTGAAAGAAAAACGCATGTCTGCATCTGCATGCTTCCAACACACTTGAAATCAGACGAGGTGCTCATTTCATCATTCCAAGTATCGCAGGTGAAGGCGATTTTGGCCTGTGTGGGAATATTGGGGGCGTTCTTGGGGAGCATTGGCCGCGAAGGGCCTCTTGTGATGTTCCATACAGATTTCACATGATTTAATTGGGCATGCGTTCCAGCTGTAGACGTAGTGGAGGGCTAGCCCCATGGCCTTGCCCGCTTTACCTTTATCAAACAATGAGGAGGCTAGAAGTAGTGTAGGACAGGACCATATAGCAGAACAAACTTTTGCATGGTTGAACCATTCTATTTCACATGTTTCCAATTCGTTTTTTTGAAAGATCCAGGAGGCCTTTTGGAACCTCCTCAAGACATGCCCTCTCGGCTGAGAAATTGAAAGCCGCATTTGTATAGTTCAGGCCGTATGCAACGAAACCGCCTGCAACATTCAGCCTTGCTCGGTGCTGTGCAAAATCAACCTCATTATTCTTGATGCATCTCATTTCATCTCGTCTCACATCTTCTCTCCTCTTCTCAGATCTTCTCAACTGATTTTCCACCGTGTCATCCCGTCTCACGTCTTCTCAGCGCGGCTTTCGCAATCTTTCCCCACTTCATGTTTTTAATTTCAGCTCATTTTGCCACCCGTGTGATTCTTTCGCTTTACCACAACTCTTCCCATGGAATGCTCTCCCCGATATCTTTCGCATTCCACCGGCACACCATATCAGTTCAAATCACGACGTGTCATCCATATCACCCCGCTTCATTCTGAAAGATTTTCTGGATGTGATGGCATGAAATGGCACGAAAAGTGATATGACAATGGTATGATACAGAATGGCATGCCGTGCATTGCAGAGATATGGTCTGAAATGGTGTGATATGCTATGATCTTGGAATGAAACGGTATGACAAAGTATGACTTGGTATGACATGACATGGAATGGCGTGATCTGTACGTATTGACACCGAGTTCTGGTATGGTGTGGAATGGTCTGCATTGATGTGTATGACGTGGTATGATATGGCAGGATTTGTATTCAAACGGTATGATGTGGCGTGATATGGTATGAAATGGAATGATGTGGACAGATTTGTATTGGTTTGGTGAGATAAAATGAGATGAGATGAGCTGACGAAAGGTTGAAAGGACATGGGATGAGATGAGACAAGCTGAGATGAACTGAGATGAGATGAGGTCAGATAAAGGGAGAAGACATGGGACCGCCAAAGAGACGTCAGAGGACTGAGCTGTAGCGAAGCACGAAGGGCTGACTCACATCCTATATAGGCACAGTCTGTTTTGCGCTCTTTAGGTTTTCATTTTTGAACCTTTAGCCCCTGGCTTGCCCGGGTACTACTTGTATATGGAACGAAACGGCATGAGTGGTATTGATATGGTATGATATGATATGGTATGATGTGGAAAGATTGGTATTGATATGGTATGATATAATGTGGTATGACGCGGAAACATTGGCATGCTATTGTATGATATGGGTCGGATTGGTGCGGGGTGACTTGTACGGCACGACGTGGTATGACGGAGTATGAAATGGTATGACACGGCGTGGTTTGTATTGATATGGTATGGTCTGATATGGCATGGTGTGGTATGATATGGTGATGTGATTTGTATTGATATGCTATACGCATCTATACGCACTGAAAAGTATATATTTTGAATTATTTTGATATATGTTGCATGAGGTTGGATTGCCTAGACTGGATGAAAGGAGCAAGGCACGTGCCTCAGCCCCAAGGCAGTGGAACAATGGCTCGACCTGACAGGCGCTGGCCAGCGCTGCAGAACGAGAGCGTGCCAGCGTAGCTTGTTACTGTACCCGTTGCGCAAACTCTGTTGCTACACGCTGCTACTGAGGCCAAAGGAAAGTTACCAAGGCGGCTACGGCTTGTCATCCTTGACAACCAACCCTGCAACAACTTGTTGTTCGGCGCTCAGGACAAGTTCTTCTGTCATCTGCCGCCCCGGACCCACATCATGGCGACCATATCGATCACGAGAATGAAGCTGAAGAGCTCCGGACCGCCCATCAAATACCGGGGAACTTTGAAGGCAAAGAGTTTCTCAGTGTCCTGAAGGATGTTTCATGCTTCAGAGTTTCTACGCGACAAATTCAGCAATATTCAATGAGGGAACAGCCTGCGGATCATGACACAACCTTCACAGCCTCTTGGCAGCCTCTTGAGCCTCTTGGCAGCCTCTTGGCAGCCTCTTGGCAGCCTCTTGAAATCTTGCTGTTGCTTGCATATTTTCTTGCTTCTCTTGGCAGCCTCTTGCCTTCCCGTTGGCTTTCCCTCGCTTCAAGTATCTTCGCAAAATCTTTGAAGAGCTCTGCCTTGCAGCCTGCCTTATACAGTTCCACAATGTTACACTCCTGGTTCAACCCGGGCCTTAGCTCTGTAAGCCCTGAAGATCTCCACTATGTGCCAGTAGAGAAGCCGCATGAAGCCCAACGAGTAGACCAAAATGCGAGCGACAGCCAGGCACGTCTCAGCCCTTATGGAGGTGCAGCCAGTTTTTATCGTGGCATGTCATGGCTATAACGAGAGGGTAGAGATACGTTGAGGTGTGCAGTGATTTGTGCAGTGATTTGTAGTCATGTGGCTATCTGACTAAAGCATGAGCAGCTCATTTAAACTCAATAAGGTCTGAATTTGAAGACTATTAGAAAGCCAAAGAAAAGGCATGGGCGCAATGTGGCGCTATGTGGCGCTATGGCTATTTATTTTATGAACTGCTCTGATCCTTCAGGCGCCGGACCCGGTACTCCTTCCAAAGTTGATGTGTCGCAACCGCCTATGCTAACAAATCAAATATGAATTGAATGTTGGCCTTGTTGGCACCTGGGAGATTCTGAAATCTAGAAGAGTCTGGAAGCACAGAAACTTTGAATGCACACAGTAAGATCAAGGTCATCAAGGCAGCCGCAACGCCATACAAGAGAGGATGCGACTTGATGCGAGAATACGCTGATACCACGAAGATGCATGCGTCCCACACTGCCACCAGGCCGCGTCGGGTTTCCAACTAGCGAGGGTTGACTCAGGAAACCTCAGAACATGACAGAACTTTATTGGAGATTTAGATGACTGATGCAACTTAGAGCACAGCTGCAATATGCAGTAACTTCATCCCGGAAGTTTCGCTGCAGCCTGGCAGCAAGTGGCCAGGAGAAAAACCACAAAGCTGACGATTGTCCAGACACGGTCCAGGAAGAAGGACCTTCTCGCCTTAGTAAAAATTATGATGCAGCACGTTGCAGCACTTGTAACCGTCCCAAAGCTTCAAGGTTCACCGCCCTATCTCAAGCAAACTTTGGAAGCGATGTTTTTCTTCACTTTTTTCTAGTCTTGTGAGCGTCCTGTGCTCCCACAGGTTCCTGTGCTACTTGTCCTTGCCAAGACGCAAGGTGCTTCCATAGCACTTCCAAGACGAAGACCAGAATGGGATGCATGATGGTTTTTGGATTATTGTACTTGACAAAGCTGATCAAGGCCCTTGAGAATGTCTTGGTCTCATCAATGTCCCTCACCAAATGCTCCAAGTAGTAAATCACTGGCCGCATGCCATCCTGAATGCGGCTATGAACGCCAACAGCATGTAAAACCAGGCAGAAATAGCGAGTCGGCCGACGTTGCTATGCTGTTCAATCAGACCCCTGTTGGTTGGCGTGCGAAGCATGTCAAACAAGAGAAACCGAACATGCAAACGGAACTACATCCGTCACATCCGACCTGATTTGACCGCACCAAACCTTGGTCTTGAGAGATATTGAAATTTCGTTAGATGACACATTCATCACATGCAACAAAAGCGGTGCACCTTCAAGTAGCAAAAACTTAGCAGGTGCAAAAACCCCGTGCAAAACATTTCAAAGGTCGCCGGCCTTGGTCTTGTGAGAGCGCCAAATCCTTGGTTTCACATAGTAAAGTCTTCGAACATGCCCAAGCTAGATTAAATCTATACAAACACCAGCGCAGCTCCCAAAGAACACACAAACAACATACTTGAACAAACTCTTCTCCCGAGTAGTCAGCCCATGTCAACTCATGTCAACTGCTGATTGATCGGCAGCTTTGCCTGCAAACACATCTCCAACTTGTTATTTCCAACCTCATGCGTTAAAAAACACAATTCAATCTGAGCTGACTCCGTGCTTGTCAAAACTTACTGCAAGAGTGCTTGGCTCATTGGTTACAGGCCAAATGTCAGCCCATCCAACAATGTCTTTGCCAGCAGTGGTGCTTCGAGCAGAATGTCTTCAACAACATTAGGCTGGAGCCTCTCAAGTCTGTGGTCACCAGATCATGTCATGTCGTGCACGTGAGGTCATGTCTTCTAGTGAGCTTCGTCAATCCTTGAGCTGTCCCATTCAACTCTTGGTGTGTTTTCATTTTACTGCTTTGCAGCCTGAAAATGTCGTCAACGCCATAGTAGTAGCGGTCCCTGTCCTCAGAAAACAAGATTCTGCAGGAACAAATCCTAATGGAAGCAACCCACAATTTTGCTTTTAATTCGACGCATTCCAAAGATTCTCTGCTACTGCTCTGCTGCTTTGATTCGGCTCGGATTGTGAGAATATCTTCGATCATCGTCTTGGCAGCTGTGTGGGCGCCGCTCCTAGCAATCCACCCGGGAAAGAACGCGAAAAAGACATGAACAGGGGAATGCTACAATATAATGAAAAGAGCCACGGCGCAAATAAAATAATGCACCATGATACAGCTGTGTTGCTTGGTGTGTTCTCATTCTGAACTTGTCTTGACCTGCCGGTCCTGAGAGCCCAATACAAAGGTGAAATGCATTGGCTGCCAACAGTTACTCGCAAAAGCAGGTTGCTGCGCTCACCCTCGGATTTAGGGGCGGCTGCGTGCGGGTCTAGGTTCAAACCTTTCCCTTTTCTGGAACTTCCTCTGACTCGTATTCAATATGTGGATTGGTATCGCCTGGCAATCACTGGACGATCATTGGTTTATGGCTCTACATGATTTTATACTTCAGCCTACTTGTGAAAATATATACGTTTTTGTGCAGCATTGCGCAGCATTCACCTACCATCTTTGGGATTTGCGCTGGTGGTTCAAACACGGAAAGCAACAGGCTTGATGAAAGAAGTCAGCAACGTAAAACAATGACCTCGTGATGTACGAACATGCGTGATCCATATTTTTACACTGTTAGTGACTGTTAGTGGCATTTTGCTGCAGGGTCTGTCAAGAAGGGCTTCGCCCTTTGCAACTTCTTGTTCCCACAAAATGGTCTTCTATGTTTTCTTTCAACGCCCTGAAACCAACGAACGGCATCGAACACTCTGAGACAAGAAAATGGACTGTTACCGTGCGCAAGATCTGAAGTTTTTTGTCCTTCGGGAATGATTTTGACATGGCACTCGCGGAGCTTCCCCCAGTGATTTTTTGAGCAGGTTCGCATCATCCTGGTTGATGGACTGCCTGACACGGGGATTGGTAGGGACCGATGCAAGAATGATCAAGAATGGTGAAAAATAATCCAGAATGATCACACCGGGGAAACCATGATGGTAGAATGTTAGAAAATTGAAGAGAAGATCTTGGAGCGTAGCGTCAATTTATGTTAAAAAGTTGAGGAGAAGATCTTAGAGCGTAGCTTCGATGATGGTATAACAGCATACGGTTTGAAAGTTGAGAAGAACACCTTAGAGCAGAGCATCAATGATGCTAGAAAATTGAAGGAAGATGTGGGAAAGTAGCATCCATGCAATATTATGCAGGAAAATTGAAGAGAACATCTAAGAGCGTAGCAACAATGATGTTAGAAGCTTGAAGAGTAGCATCAATGAGGGCAGAACCTGAGAAAATTCAAGGGAAGATCTTGGATCCTAGAACCAGTGATGGTAGAACGTTGGAAAATTGACGAGACGATCTTGGAGTATAGCATCAATGGTGGTGAACATGTTTGAAATTTGATTGGATCTTAGAGCAGAGCACAGAGCATCAGTGATGTTAGAGAATGCAAGAGACCTTGGCGCAGCAAACGAGAATAGAAAACTGAGGAGAAGATCTAAAAACGTAGCATCAATGATGTTACTGAAAAAAAGGAAAAATGGTCGAGCGAAGGGTCAGTGATGTTGGAAAAGTGAAAGGAAGATCTTCGAGCGCAGCATCCATGATGTCAGAAAATGAAAGAGAAGATCTTAGAGCGTATCCGCAATGATGTTAGAAATTTGAAGAGAAGATCTTAGAGCATAGCATTCCTGATGTTTGAAAATTGAAGAGAAGATCTCGGAGCATATCATCAATGATGCTTGAAAATTGATGAGAAGAGCTCAGGGCGTAGCATCAATGATGGCCTCTGCCTCTGCCTCTGCCCCTACCCCTATCTATACCTCTAGCTTTTGCTTTACCTCTACCTGTACCTCTACCCAACCCTTATACTCAAGCTCTACTCTTCTCTACTCTTCTCTACTTGCTCTACTCTGCTATACTCTACTCGACCTCTATACCCTACTCCAAACTCTACTCTATACTCTACTCTACTCTGCTATGCTCTGCTCTCCGCTACTCTACTCTACCCTACTCCGCTCTACTCTAATCGGCCTCTAGTCTAATCTGCCTCTACTCTAATCGGCCTCTACTCTAATCGACCTCTGCTCCAATCGACCTCTACTCTAGTCGACCTCTACTCTAATCGACCTCTACTCTACTCTGCTCTGCTCTACCCGACCTATACTCTATTCGACCTCTACTTTACTCTACCCTACCCTACGCGACCCTACCCTACTCTACCTTTCTCTACTCCACCCTACCCCCACTCTCCGCTGCTTTACTCTCCCTAATGATCTTTTGAGCTACTTCTCTACTTAAGGCACATGCCAACTGGATACAAAGATCTTTGGGCTAGTGAGCATGTCGAAAGTGCGTAACTCCAATAACTAATTCATTGTGTGAAACAGAATGCATAGTACATGGTTCTGCAACCTGGCAAGGTACCAATCATACTTCTACATGTTGTGCAACGATGTTCAATGCACAAGTCAAATTATGTCATGTGCGCGCTGCCAACAATCCACTCCAATCAATCCCGCAAAAAGCTGCATCCAAACGCACCAAGTTTTGGACAAGTGCGAGATTAGTGACGAATGTGCTAAATATGTTGAAATTAAGGATCCCTGCGTCACTGTTTTGGGCCATCCGAAAGCAAACCAGCACGGAATCTACACCTGGAAAAGCTACCAGATTGGGCGGATCTTCCAGTTCATCAACTATACCGAAGTGGCAAATGACAGGTTTGTCTGTTGCTCAGCTGGTTCTTTGAACATGATGTCGCACGATCCTGGTTTCAAGTGATCTGACCCAGGTTGTTGGCTATTATGTTGTTCCTGCCGTAAAGTTCTGCCAAGTTGCATGACAGCGGTAGATCCTTCTGTAATGGTTCGCATCAATACACGTGACACTAGGCCTCAATGCAAGGAAGTATGTGGCACTGGGCCCCGTGGCTTGGCAAATGTTCTTCATGCGGCTTTTTCTCTAAACACAAGACGAAGTTTGGCACGCTGTGCGGACCCTGGAGCAATGAAATTTCAGGCGATTCTATGAAGCAGAAATATGCAGAATCTGAAGCAAGGCTTTGCCTGAGGAAATGTGCTAGTAAATGTGAGCATCGAAGGAACATGCATTGAAAGTGCGGTAATGCAAACAATCGCGCAGGCAAGGAACCAATCGACCAGCGGAAACCTTCCAGCATCAAATCGCTAGCGTCCGTCTCCTGAAAGGCAGGAGCAAGGATGCGGATTGTCCCATCAATGGACAGAATCTGAAAGATTGTTACACGGGTATGGACTGAAAAATGAAAGCTAGTCTTTGTCTTGCACCAGGCACTTGATTGGTAAAATCAACTCTTACTGTACTAGAAATCCATTGGGCTCTGCCCGCAAGGGTTCGAATCCCTTCGGTGTCGATGTCCATAGCAAATTGATGCAGATTGAATGTTTATGGTGTCTAACCGCCAGCCAAAAGCCAAGTGTCCTGCAAACCCTGCGCTTTGGTTGTAGCGGCGTCAACTTTGAGGCTTCGCTTCACTGTCTCCTAATTCGAAGTAGCTACGACGATCACTACAATGCTGCCCTAGCAGAGAATCCTGCGGTGATGCATGGGTCCATGCAAATGACTGCAGACCACAGCCCAACATAGCCCAACGCAATTTGTGGGGTTCCTAGTGTCAGCCCATCTACCATTGCAGGCCCTCCTATTTATTGTAGTTGCATATCCTGCATTTGTTAACCGATAGTAGTGTATCAAGATATTCAGAAATTTGGTGGCGATCCATTGTGCTGAATTGGATATCTAAACAAAGCCGCAAGTCAGCCAAAAGGGCACACAGCTTAATGGATAACACATGCAGATTTGATTGCCAATACACCGGAGATCACCGGTCACCGGACGACATGGAGCCAGATTGGAACCCTGCAATCTAACACAATCTAACCTCATCCTGGAGGCATGCGACGGCATTCCGGTGGCTGCAAATTCAAGCAGCGGTGTCACTAAAGCAAAGCGGCCCAGGCAGAAACTTAAAAAATACATAGACAGCACTCAAGGCATGGGGCACCAAATTATACTAGGCATTGAGGAGAGCAGCGTAGAGGAACATGAATGCAAAGTGGAGCAAGCTAAGCGCTGAAGGAGACTAGTACTCAGCCATGCTCAGCGCAACCACGGCGCATGGCCAAGAAAGCTAGAACTGAGCTCAAAGGGCTCAACTCAGTTTTGGGCCGAGAAACATCTTTGGCAACGTCAGAGATCAGGCGCTTCATGACAATGACGCACGAGTCTGTGAACGGCGCAAACAACTCAATCGGAACCCCATAGCCTGACAGTGCAGGGCATCCACTCAAAGGCAGGAATTGGCTAGAGCCCCAAGGGAAAACTTAAAATCAACTGCAACATGGCAACATGCATACTTTTAAGGAATTTGAAGGAATTGGCTGGAGCCCCAACGGAAAACTTATAGTAGGCGCAGATGACACGGGACTTTGCGGCCGATTTAGCCGAGGTTTTTTGGCACATGACATGATTATGTATCGATTTTGCTATAGTTTTCTTTTTTACACATGACATGGGAGTTATGCACCGACCTAACAGGCAGGTATTTTTCAATTTGTTTGACAGATGACATGGGAATAAATGATCAAATTTACACATGGCATGGGACTTCCAGGAAAACACAGACGTCCAAGATGGGAAGTGGCAGGTCATGAGATGGGAAGAGGAATTTACCACAGGAGATGGGACTTCAAGATGGGAACTGGCAGGTAGGGAGACGGGAAGAGGAATTTACCACAGGAGATGGGACATCCAAAATGGGAACTGGCAGGTAGGGAGACGGGAAGAGGAATTTACCACAGGAGATGGGACATCCAAAATGGGAACTGGCAGGTAGGGAGACGGGAAGAGGAATTTACCACAGGAGATGGGACATCCAAAGACGGGAACTGGCAAGTAGGGAAACGGGAAGAGGAATTTACCACAGGAGATGGGACATCCAAGATGGGAACTGGCAGGTAGGGAGACGGGAAGATGAATTTACCACAGGAGATGGGACTTCCAAGATGGGAACTGGCAGGTAGGGAGACGGGAAGAGGAATTTACCACAGGAGATGGGACATCCGAGATGGGAACTGGCAGGTAGGGAAGAGGAATTTACCACATGACATGGGACTTCCAGGATGGGAACTGGCAGGTAGGGAGACGGGAAGAGGAATTTACCACAGGAGATCGGACATCCAAGATGGGAACTGGCAGGTAGGGAGACGGGAAGAGGAATTTACCACAGGAGATGGGACATCCAAGATGGGAACTGGCAGGTAGGGAAGAGGAATTTACCACAGGAGATGGGACATCCAAGATGGGAACTGGCAGGTAGGGAGACGGGGAGAGGAATTTACCACAGGAGATGGGACATCCAAGATGGGAACTGGCAGGTAAAGAGACGGGGAGAGGAATTTACCACATGACATGGGACTTCCAGGATGAGATGGGACATCCAAGATGGGAACTGGCAGGTAGGGAGACGGGAAGAGGAATTTACCAGCCAAGATGGGACATCCAAGATGGGAACTGGCAGATAGGGAGACGGGAAGAGGAATTTACCACATGACATGGGACTTCCAAGATGGGAACTGGCAGGTAGGGAGACGGGAAGAGGAATTTACTACATGACATGGGACTTCCAAGATGGGAACTGGCAGGTAGGGAGACGGGAAGAGCAATTTACCACATGAGATGGGACATCCAAGATGGAGATGGGACATCCAAATTGGGGGGCAGGTAGGGAGACGGGAAGAGGAATTTACCACATGACATGGGACTTCCAAGATGGGAACTGGCAGGTAGGGAGACGGGAAGAGGAATTTACCACGTGACATGGGACTTCCAAGATGGGAACTGGCAGGTAGGGAGACGGGAAGATGAATTTACCACAGGAGATGGGACATCCAAGATGGGAACTGGCAGGTAGGGAGACGGGAAGAGGAATTTACCACATGACATGGGACTTGCATGATGGGAACTGGCAGGTAGGGAGACGGGAAGAGGAATTTACCACATGACATGGGACTTCCAAGATGGGAACTGGCAGGTAGGGAGACGGGAAGAGGAATTTACTACATGACTTGGGACTTTCAAGATGGGAACTGGCAGGTAGGGAGACGGGAAGAGGATTTTACCACAGGAGATGGGACTTCCAAGATGGGAACTGGCAGGTAGGGAGACGGGAAGAGGAATTTACCACATGAGGTGGGACATCCAAGATGGGAACTGGCAGGTAGGGAGGCAGGTAGGGAGACGGGAAGAGGCATTTACCACAGGAGATGGGACATCCAAGATGGGAACTGGCAGGTAGGGAGACGGGAAGAGGAATTTACCACAGGAGATGGGACATCCAAGATGGGAACTGCCAGGTAGGGACACGGGAAGAGGAATTTACCACATGACATGGGAATTTGAAGATGGGAACTGGCAGGTAGGGAGACGGGAAGAGGAATTTACCACAGGAGATGGGACATCCAAGATGGGAACTGGCAGGTAGGGAGACGGGAAGAGGAATTTACCACAGGAGATGGGACATCCAAGATGGGAGGGAGACGGGAAGAGGAATTTACCAGCCAAGATGGGACATCCAAGATGGGAACTGGCAGATAGGGAGACGGGAAGAGGAATTTACCACACGACATGGGACTTCCAAGATGGGAACTGGCAGCTAGGGAGGCAGGTAGGGAGACGGGAAGAGGAATTTACCACAGGAGATGGGACATCCAAGATGGGAACTGGCAGGTAGGGAGACGGGAAGAGGAATTTACCAGATGGGAACTGGCAGGTAGGGAAACGGGAAGAGGAATTTACCACAGGAGATGATGGGACATCCCTGATGGGAACTGGCAGGTAGGGAGACGGGAAGAGGAATTTACCAGCCAAGATGGGACATCCAAGATGGGTACTGGCAGATAGGGAGACGGGAAGAGGAATTTACCACATGACATGGGACTTCCAAGATGGGAACTGGCAGGTAGGGAGACGGGAAGAGGAATTTACTACATGACTTGGGACTTCCAAGATGGGAACTGGCAGGTAGGGAGACGGGAAGAGGAATTTACCACAGGAGATCGGACATCCAAGATGGGAACTGGTAGGTAGAGAGACGGGAAGAGGAATTTACCACAGGAGATGAGACATACAAGAAACTGGCAGGTAGGGAGACGGGAAGAGGAATTTACTACATGACATGGGACTTCCAAGATTGGAACTGGCAGGTAGGGAGACGGGAAGAGCAATTTACCACATGAGATGGGACATCCAAGATGGAGATGGGACATCCAAATTGGGGGGCAGGTAGGGAAACGGGAAGAGGAATTTACCACATGACATGGGACTTCCAAGATGGGAACTGGCAGGTAGGGAGACGGGAAGGGGAATTTACCACGTGACGTGGGACTTCCAAGATGGGAACTGGCAGGTAGGGAGACGGGAAGATGAATTTACCACAGGAGATGGGACATCCAAGATGGGAACTGGCAGGTAGGGAGACGGGAAGAGGAATTTACCACATGACATGGGACTTGCATGATGGGAACTGGCAGGTAGGGAGACGGGAAGAGGAATTTACCACATGACATGGGACTTCCAAGATGGGAACTGGCAGGTAGGGAGACGGGAAGAGGAATTTACTACATGACTTGGGACTTTCAAGATGGGAACTGGCAGGTAGGGAGACGGGAAGAGGATTTTACCACAGGAGATGGGACTTCCAAGATGGGAACTGGCAGGTAGGGAGACGGGAAGAGGAATTTACCACATGAGGTGGGACATCCAAGATGGGAACTGGCAGGTAGGGAGGCAGGTAGGGAGACGGGAAGAGGCATTTACCACAGGAGATGGGACATCCAAGATGGGAACTGGCAGGTAGGGAGACGGGAAGAGGAATTTACCACAGGAGATGGGACATCCAAGATGGGAACTGGCAGGTGGGGAAACGGGAAGAGGAATTTACCACAGGAGATGGGATCCAAGATGGGAACTGGCAGGTGGGGAAACGGGAAGAGGAATTTACCACAGGAGATGGGACATCCAAGATGGGAACTGGCAGGTAGGGAGACGGGAAGAGAAATTTACCACAGGAGATGGGACATCCAAGATGGGAACACTGGCAGGTAGGGAGACGGGAAGAGGAATTTACCACATGACATGGGGCATCCAAGATGGGAACTGGCAGGTAGGGAGACGGGAAGAGGAATTTACCACAGGAGATGGGACATCCAAGAATTTACCACATGACATGGGACTTTCAAGGTGGGAACTGGCAGGTAGGGAGACGGGAAGAGGAATTTACCACAGGAGATGGGACATCCAAGATGGGAACTGGCAGGTAGGGAGACGGGAAGAGGAATTTACCAGATGGGAACTGGCAGGTAGGGAAACGGGAAGAGGAATTTACCACAGGAGATGATGGGACATCCCTGATGGGAACTGGCAGGTAGGGAGACGGGAAGAGGAATTTACCAGAGGAGATGGGACATCCAAGATGGGAACTGGCAGGTAGGGAGACGGGAAGAGGAATTTACCACATGACATGGGACTTCCAAGATGGGAGCTGGCAGGTAGGGAGACGGGAAGAGGAATTTACCACAGGAGATGGCACATCCAAGATGGGAAGTGGCAGGTAGGGAGACGGGAAGAGGAATTTACCACAGGAGATGGGACATCCAAGATGGGAACTGGCAGGTAGGGAGACGGGAAGAGGAATTTACCACAGGAGATGGGACATCCAAGATGGGAACTGGCAGGTAGGAGACGGGAAGAGGAATTTACCACATGACATGGGACTTCCAAGATGGGAACTGGTAGGTAGGGAGACGGGAAGAGGAATTTACCACAGGAGATGGGACATCTCCAAGATGGGAACTGGCAGGTAGGGAGGCGGGAAGAGGAATTTACCACATGACATAGGACTTCCAAGATGGGAACTGGCAGGTAGGGAGGCGGGAAGAGGAATTTACCACAGGAGATCGGACATCCAAGATGGGAAGTGGCAGGTAGGGAGACGGGAAGAGGAATTTACCACAGGAGATGGGACATGCAAGATGGGAACTGGCAGGTAGGGAGACGGGAAGAGGAATTTACCACAGGAGATGGGACATCCAAGATGGGGACTGGCAGGTAGGGAGACGGGAAGAGGAATTTACCACAGGAGATGGGACATCCAAGATGGGAACTGGTAGGTAAGGAGACGGGAAGAGGAATTTACCACAGGAGATGAGACATCCAAGAAACTGGCAGGTAGGGAGACGGGAAGAGGAATTTACCAGAGGAGATGGGAC